TTTCAGCATCTAGTTCAACTATAATCAAAACCCACTTTAGTGGTTATGCATGTTGAGATAAAACTTCAGAGACAGTACTTCATAAAAAGATGTTTTATAAAGCACATATGTAAAGAACTGTAAACGACTTTAAAAAACTAAAACGACTTCCTAATTAAAGAACTCGATTCAAATGTTAAGAATGGTGAAGGACACAAACTTGGCACATACCTGTAAACGGTAAGATGATTGAACGGTACAAGGTCTCTGTATTTTCTGGAGAAAAGATCAAACAAAACATGAAAATGGTGTTTGGATATACTGACATGGCTAGATGGGAGAATGAGAAGAAAAACGAAAGAGAGATAAAGAGTACCTGCGGAGCGATCAACCACCACGGCGTCGGAGAAGGTGATATTACAGTCGGGCGAAATGTTGAGGAAGATGGAATGACTGCGAACTGGGAACTGGAAAGAGAGGAAAACAGTAAATGAGGGAGGGTTTAATCGAGCCCGGCCCGGCCCTGCCCTGTTTTTGCGCGGTTTTTCCGTAATACCCTTATACCCCTGCCTGCTTTCACGTGTGATGAATGCCACACGTATTTACCTGGGCGAGAATCAGGATTCTTTGGCGCTGTTTGGCATCACTCCAAATAATCACTTTGGATTCTTAGGATGATGATAACACGTTTGGACACAATTATGAAGTGTTTCTCATTCCAAATGGGAAGAACAGGCAAAATTATGAGAAGTGAAAAAAATACACTGCAGAATCTCGATTCTCGCCGATGTAAGCTTAAAATAACGAACACATGTTACTATGAAAATATGGGCAAAAATGTAAATTTGTTGTTGATCATAAAACCAATCAATAAACCCCACCCTACCCCCGCAGCCTTCATTTTTGTTGGAGTTCAAATCAACCCCCCGTAAGATTGCCCCCCACGGTACACCCCCTCGTGTATTGGGAACATTTTCTAATGATGGCATCATCATTTCTGCTATTATTATTAGGAGATGTTCCCAATACATGATAGGGATTTACTATGAGACGTTGTGGGGGACTGATTTGATCTCTTCTTCTTCCCCATCATTTCACTCTCAATAGCTCTCTGTTACAATACTCTGCTTTGATGTCAATTGAAATCGTATGTATAACTTGAGATTAGTTTCAGTCAGTGCAAAGGCCCATTCAAACATTGTTCGAACAGCCTTTACAGCCTTGCATTGAGAATAGCTCCATACCTAAATACTTTATTTCATTGGAAAATATTCCCAATGCAAGGCCAGTATGTTCCAACGGTCCTTGCACTAACTGAAGCCGAGTTCACTCTGTATTTTCTCATTGTTTTCCCCTATATTTCTTGCATACAACTAGGCGATTCAACTTGTGTTTTCTATTGCCTAGTTTTCTCACGATCCATCCAAGTTCTCTATGAATTACAAACTCGTTATGGATTGTTTTGCATGTATTCTCTCTATTGTGTTTCCATGATGCCATGGTTAGTTTAAAAACTTAATCATAATATTGTAAAGTTGGAATCTACAAATTTTATAGAAAATTTTCAAGTGTGTAAATTTATTACATGCTCTGATAAAAAATCGTTGGATATATGAATGTTGTTTCAGTTGTGAATACTTTTATTGGAACAGGTCTAGTAACCAATTGCTTGGATTTTTATTTTTTATCAAAATTCATTTGGGGGTGGGTTTTGATTGGTCAAAGCCTTTCTTGTATCATGTCTTTCCTTTTTTGGTATTTAGTCGTATGCCTAAATTTCCATGGGTTGTATTTTTTTTTTTTTTGGAATTACACACATACTACTAACTTTTTTCTCCAAAGTCAGTGGAAGCAGGACTTGAATCCACATCTCCGTTGGAACAATCCAAGTAACATATTAACTAAGCCATCCTCGATTGGCTTGTATATGTCTCTCAGCACCATAGTTTTTGTAACACTTTTTAAGCTAAATGTGAGAGTACTTAAAATTAAAAATAAGTGCTTATTCAAATAAAGACTTATTTTGGGCCAGGACCAAATCAACTTATTTCCTTTTTAGTCTGTCTTGACCCCCTATATCATTTTGAAAATACCTATACTACCAATAAGTGTATTTTCACCAAACGTTCGTGAGTATTTATTTTACAATTAAGCACTTCCAAATTTTATCCTTACACGAGTCCCTGGGGAAGATAAAGTGTACAAAATATCGACCATGAACGTTGCCCACAAATACACATGATTCTTGGTCCTAATTGATCTTCAGAAGGCTGTCATATAATAATGGTGTTTGGTTACAACACCACATCAAAACCATATCAGTGATTCAACTTTAACGGTCGAATTTATTGTTTGGTAAGCCGCAAAAAATGTTATAGGCAATAAAATTTTTATGGAATTTTTAAATGGGCATTGCCCCCTTGGACTTAAATTTGCTCGTGGGCCTTCTTAGTGCAGGGGTCCTTTCTATTTGGACCCTATTCCATAAGCTCAAATTTGTATGGGCCTTGGTGTGAGTTTTTTCCTTTTGGGCCTTCTTTCTACAAGTCCACTAGCATAAGAAGAGGGTATACATGTGGGGTCCATCATGAAATCACATTCAAATGTAAATTTAAATTAATTCAAGTCTTGGTGGTTTATGGAAATAAATCCAACTAAAGCCTTTCTCATATGCTAATGATGAAAATCCAACTGGTATTAAAGAGAAAATAATTGATTAAAAATCATTATCTCCATAAAATGGCAATTTGCCAAGCTTCTTCTCGCCAAAAGGTAAGTGGGGTCAATCAAATCTCTAGTCAATTAAAAAACATATGGAAATTTAGTTGATGATTAAGAGAATAATTATCTCTTTATAAGAGTTAATGTAACAACTCTTTGAAAAGGGTAACAAGAGCAAAGGCATGGGAAGATTAGACCATGCAATCTAGAAATAGTCTCCCATCAAGAGAGAGAGGACCTTTGGTCAAAAACTTAGAAAAAAAAAGAAGGCCCTTGCTTAGCAATGGGTATCAACTAGCCCATTTGCAGTTCTTCTCACCCACTTGAACTCAGCACCTATATCTTTCACACTCCTTTCCACTTCCTTGGGATCATGTTTGAAGTTCTATGGGGTATGTTTATTGTAAGTTACCCAAGAGATGATTACTTTAGAATCCCCTTCCACCTCTAGCTGTCTAAGGTCCAGTTGCTTAGCTAACCGCAGACCTTGTAACACCTCCTATGCCTGCCAAACCCAGATTACACAAAGAACCCACCAAAATTCAACTTTACTTTGTTGCCTTCTGGGGGTTTCCATTCCATTCTGATTCTCTCCTTAGTCCTTATCTCTTGAGGATCATGTTAATTCAGTCCAAGTTCTTATAATTTCATTAACTGTGAAGTTCCGGAAGCTCAAAGTCTTTATTCAAATTGCAACCTTCACTTTTATGCAATCTATTACCTCCTCCAAAGATCTACTCTTTCTRGTGAAAATTCTGTTGTTCCTTTCTTCCCAGACTATCCAACTGATTGCTGCTTTAGTAGTTCTCCACAATATCCTCCCTCTTTTCTTTGGTTGCCTCAAGAAGTTTGGGTTGAATATGTCCACCACCTCTTGAGAATGTTGCTAAACTTTAATCGGATCAAATGAACTCGGATTTAAGTACATCCAATCTGATTACAGGCCTAACAATGATGG